TGCGAGTCTCTTCGCCTCGGGGCTGTCGGCCGTCCCGCCGACCTCTCTCGTGCCCCTGCGCCGTCCTCTCCCTTGTGCTCACCTCCTTCCCCATCCAGTCCCCTGATCCTTCCCCTCCTCCTGCCTCTCCTCCCTCTCCTCCCCGTCGTCCTTCCTCTCTCTGCTCCTTCTCACCCCCCCTCTACTCCCCTCGTCGCCCCCCCGTATCCTCACCTCCTACTCACCTCGCCCGCCAGACCACATGCAGATCGCGGCGCTTCTCCGCAGCGGAGCGCCTGCCACGCATGCCCCCGAGGCCGCGAGGAACGGTGTGACCCGCAGGCAGGGCCGCCCCCCGCAGCCTCGCGAGCAGGCCTCGCGAGGAGGCCTCGTGCTGGCAGGACCTCCGCGAGCAGGATGTGGACGGGACGTGCGGGCTGCGGCCGGCAGGCGGCCTCATGTTTGAGCCACCGACCCCCGACCCCGGCCGCGGGGCGGCGGTCGCCGCGCCCTCGGCGGCTGGCGCGCCGACCGCGAGGCCCTCGCCGGCTGGCTCGGCAGCGGCGGGGGCCGCGGCGGCGCCGAGGGCCGCGGCCTGTGACGCGGGGCCTCGGCGGCGCCGAGGGCGCGCCGCCCGAGCTGGGCTGCCCCGGCGACCGCGCGCCCTGCTGCCTCGAGGCCCAGTAGCTCGGCTGACGGACTGGGGCAGGCCAGCCACAGCTGGGGGAGCCGTGGTCCTTGCCCCCCTGGGGGGCCCATCGAGTTCGACACCCCTCTCAGTAACTCGGCTGACTGACTGGGCAGGCCAGCCACAGCTGGGGGAGCTGTGGTCCTTGTCGAGTTCGGCGCCCCTCTCGAGAGATCGTCGATGCGACGGGTTCCCCCAGGGGGGGAAGGACCACAGCTCCCCGTGTTGTGGCTGACTGACTGGGGCGCGCCGCGGCGCGCCGCCCCAGGGCAGCTCCGACGGGCAGGGCGCGCAGCCGGGCGCTGTCGCGGAGAGCCCGCCTGGGCAGGCGCAGCCCTGGAGCGCCTTGGAGCCCGGGGTGCCGAGGGCCTCGGGGGCGCTGCCCGCCTCGGGGAGCGATCCCGACCCGCGCCTCCTCGCCTCCGCCCTTTCTCCCCCTCCTCTCCTCCCCCCCCCCTCTCCCTCTCTTCTCCCCTTCTTCTCCCCCCCCCCCCCTGCCCTCTTCTCTCTTCTCCCCCCCTCTCTCTCTCCCCCCCCTTCTCCCTCTCCTCTTCCCCCCCCCTTCTCCCTCTCTTCCCCCCCTCTCCCTCTCTCCTCCCCCTCTTCTCCCCCCTCCCCCCCTCCTCTCCTCCTCCCCTTCTCCCCCCCTCTCTCCTCCTACCCCCCTCCCCCCGTCGCCCGTCTCCGAGGGTCGGCTCGAGGCGGGAGGCTGGGTCCGGTGGTTCCGCTCCGTGGCAGAGCCGGCCGCGAGGCCGAGCAGTCGTCTCGACTGCTCTCGAGGCGCTGTCTCATTCAGGAGGGGAACAAAAACACAGACACAATGAATCGTCGATTCCCCAGAAAATATTGGAAAAGCGGTCGTCTCGACTGCTCTCGAGGCGCTGCCTTATCCAGGAGGAGAAAAAACACACACAGACACTATGAATCGTCGATTCCCCAGGAAATATTGGAAAAGCAGTCGTCTCGACTGCTCTCGAGGCGCTGTCTTATTTGGCGGCGCGCAGAGGGGGGTAGGGGGAGAGGGGAAGGCTTCTTAAAAGCACCCCTGCTTCTTAGAAGGCGCGGGCCTCCTCTATAGACGTACAGCCGAGGCCTTCTAAGAAGCAGGGTGCTTCTAAGAAGCCTTCCCCCCTCCCCCTATCCCCTTCTGTGCGCCGCCAACTTATTCAGGAGGGGAAACAACACACAGACACAATGCATCGTCGATTCCCCAGAAAAGATTGGAAACTATGGGAATTGGACGGGAAGACAAAAACTTAGGAAATATTTGAAAATATGGGGAATCCTGTTATTTGTGTGTATTTATGTGTGCGTCCCAGGAGGCGCTGCCCTATCCAGGAGGGGAAACAACAACACACAGACACAAGTAATCGTCGATTCCCCAGAAAATATCGGAAAAATATGGGAATTGGGCGGGAAGACAAAAACTTAGAAAATATTTGGAAATATGGGGAATCCTGTTATTTGTGTGTATTTATGTGTGCGTCCCAGGAGGCGCTGCCTTATCTCACCTGCCAGTCTGATCCATCGTCTTCCAAAGCGCACCACCGGGAAGCCAGAAACGTCTGAACAGTGTGGGGAAGTACGAGCTGTTGCGACGCACAGACGCGTTCGGATTTTCCGCCCACCAGTGGCCCGGCTTCCTGAGTGGCGTTCCCAGGAACTCATACATTAACACGATGCGGCCAGCTGTTGGGAACATTCGCGATCTTGGTTGCCACTCCCCGCCATGTATGACCTGTGCACTTCAGCCATCCTGGACTGGAACAGCATGTTGTGCGTCTCTTCGCATCGCGACGTGGGCCCCTGTGGATCTCGACCACTCTTCCCCAG